GCATGCTCTCTCCCTCCACTGCCAATCACAAGCACCCGATCAGCCATTAACCTGTGCAAACCAAGAATCATCATATATAGTACTATCCATTTATTTCACAAACCCATGTAAAAATAAGCAAATATATACAAATTATATATCTCACTTATAATTGGTAAGTAATATCAATCCAGTCTGTATTAGAAAGGTATCTGTAAGACATCTGAATAAAGTGAATGTACCAGTAGTGTCACTGGATGGATGCATCATTCACATTTGGTTTAAATACTGACAACAGTGAAATCACTGAGAATTTTTTCCACTTGTTTCAGCATAGTCAAGACTTCCTCTCTTAAGTATCCAGGATGAAATAATCTTGTCATGACTAGGTCTCATCAAGTCCTTTGCACAACTACACAGGACAGGACCAAAAGTTTCATACAAATGCTCTAGGTGACTTACCAGATAAATATATTTCAAACTGAATACTGTGGTCAATCTAGGAACTTTTATGAATGTAAACATCCTCAGTAATAAATGGCAAAGACAGTTTTCAGAACAGATTTTATACTTTGACAATTACTAAGAGGGCAACTTCAGTAGAACAGCATGCTCAATAAAAGAACAACTGTTAATTTCACTAGCACACTGACATTTAAAACAGTTTCTCAATAATATTTCTAGGCAAATTAGTTTTGATTTATTTCAGAAATATTATCATACTCAATGTAGGTCACATCTGCAAACTTAATTTTTCCATATGTGCTGAATGTGGACAAATGTCAGAAAGAAAAAACACCCCAGAACATGACCTTTAAGGAAGATGCTAATGGCATAATCCAGTCCTTACAGAGAAAATAGATAATAAATTAAAGATACCATAAAACACCAGCTTTGCAAGCAACATGTCAGCAGTCTTTTCCCAAGAAATCATAGCCATTGGTTTGAGTTCATTACATAGCTTCCAAAGGCAAACAGAAGCTAAATGGTGACACTGAGATACAATATTTCAGAAAAGATGTTCATAGAACTGTGATAAATCAATAATCATGTTTAAAGTTCCCAAGGCAGTATTAAGATGTCCTAACCTTGTATCAACAAAATAAAATTTAACTATATTTTCATAATTATTAAATTGTCCAAGTACAATGTAAGTAGCCTGTCCCTGAGGACTACAGACCATTGTGAATTATGCAAGAGACTAATTTTAAGTTTTCAGTATTGTGCTGTAGGCATATAAACACAGAACATATGTTTAATGCTCTATCAATCACCAAACAGATTTCCTTGCAAAAGACTTTTCTAAGTCTTTATACTGTGTATGTCAAACTTTGTCTTCCCTTTTGTCACTACTTGACAAATAATTCTGGAATCACTAGGAAGTTGCTGTGAACTTAAAAGTAAAGGGTTACAACGGCTCTATCTCTAACAAAGACATCAACATGCTCTCTACAAAGCTTCATTAGGCACTACAGTCCAACTGTTATTAATAAAAAGCAAAGTGTTTTTAAAAACAAAATTTTTTTTTCCTTAAATGTAATTTCACAATTGACTGAGGTTTTCTAAGGCAGAATAAATTAAAGTTACTGACTAGGAAGAGAGTGAAACCAAGCAGTGCCTCCTACCCTGTGGAAAAAATGCACATTTCCATTCCACGTCATAGTGAGGACACTAAAGACATTTTTTGCAAAACAATTCAAAAGCGTGGTGGATAAAAGCTGGTAAGACAGTTGGTCCTAGAGGAAAGACTGTAGAGAGGGACATCGCACTTGAATCATCTTCTCTTACCGTGTCAGACCGCGCTGTTTGTCCACACAAAAGGCTGAGGAGTCTTTCAGACAGATTCGAGTTCTTCCTTCACCTCCTGCTTCAGATCCAAATGATTTCTGATCTCCTAAAGCCAAGGATAAGGGTGAGAGGGTGAAAGAAGCAGACAGACCTGCATGCTGTCCTGCCCCCTTTTATCCTCCTATGTAATGGGAGGATCCCCAGCAGGCTCCCCTTAATGCCACCCGCCCTTAAAAACAGGCCTTAGCAGTGTGGACCATTTTCCTCTCGTTCCATTTTTCCTTAGCTCACAACAAAAACAACTCCTCCCCACCAGTCCTACAATGTTAATAGTATCAAACCTAGGAAAAGAAAAAAAAAATCAGCTATGATGTGGTATCAAAAGCTGAGATCATTGCTCGGTTCCCATGTTAAGAGCAATTTTATATCCTCTGACAAATAAAGAATCTCAAAGGCTACTTGTAAAAATAAAACATAGCTTTCATGGTCTACAGCTAAACAGAAACACTCCAGTTAAAACCTGCACACTAACTCCCACAGATCTGTTCTTTGTAATGGAACGTATCCTTAGATGTATATAAAGGTTATTATAAAGGTTATTATATAAAGGTGTATATAAAGGTTATTTTAATATCTAGCACACATTTGAATTGTGTTTCCCTTAATTACTACCCTTTTTACCTTTTGGGGAACTTTAATACAAGCAGTGCCAGAGATACAATGTATATAAGTGTTATTTTATTCTCCACTGGTTCCTACACCACCCTCTTCACCAGCCTAATCCTTTCATGATAGTATCTGAAATCCTTTGGTTAATGTTTGGCAAGCTTGCAATGCTGGCATTCCCTACTGAAAACAAAATTAACTTATCCCAACATAGCACTGAACAGTATCTCTGTGTCTTAAAGTCAGGCAATGCAAAATAAAAAAACACAGTAATAGAAACACAAGCCATCCCTTTTACACCACTAAAACAATTTTTAAAGGAAATCTGCAAAGTTTGTTTAAAACTTCTATAGAATTAATGGCTTGTGTACTGTTGAACAGATGTACTAGAACCTCCCAGTTTAAGGAGATATGCCTGATACAATAGCCTTAAGCATCACTTACCGAGTATATGTAGATTTCCTTCCTCAGATTTGCAAACTCACAGTTCTACATTTTCTACCCGCGACTGAACAGCAAACCACCACAAGGAAACAATAATCCTATTTCTTATAGAATGATAAAATTTCTCTCTCTTTTGCAACAGTTTTTGGAATTTTTTCTTCTAGCCTGGAGACTGTGACAATTTAAGTCAGAAACAGAACTCGTGCAGCCCTGAAACGTCTCTCTGCTATATGACTGGCCAGAAGAAGATAATTTAAACTTGCATTCATTCCAGCGGGTCAATTTGTATTGCAATTATTTGACCAAATTGTTTTCTTAGGTGATGAAGTGAATATGCACAGAGAAAGACAATAGACTCAGAAACTTCCAATATCAAAATCTGACTTTTACAGAAAGCAAATTTGAAATTAAAAAAATATAGAAAACCATTGCCTAATGAATAGAAGAGAAAGTCTCTCTGAAACAATGTATTTTAGTGTTGTTTATTCACCAAGATAGCATACTGGCAAAGCTGCAGCAGGATGAGCCGTCAGAGTACGATAGCGGAGGCTGTAAAACAAAGCAAATTTCTCTATGTGGTTGTTGCTTCCTTTCAGATGTCAATGCCACCTTTTCACTGGCTGGATATGCAGCATGCTCAACCATACCCCATCAACTACCATTAATAGAAAACACAAGGGGTTGGTTGTTTGGTTGTTTTTTTTTAATAACAGATGCTGGTGTTCCGAGAGGAAACCAATTATTATCTGTCTTCCATCCGTTGGGGCCTTTAGTTCACCCACCTGGGTCCTCCTTTCCAGGCTGAGGATGAGAACTGCTTCTTGGCTTGGGGTTTCTTTAGCTGAAGCTGCCCTTCCCTGACAGCTAGCCGATGCCACGCGCGGAGGCTGTAGGAAAACCCACCAAGTGCTACCCGCCCTGCAGCAGCGCAGCAGAGGCCGGGCGCTCTGGGTCACTACAGGTCTGGCACAGCCTTTCTGGGCGAGCCCAACCAACGCCAGCTTACCCTGCCGCTCGCGCTGCTGCTCAGAGACACTCACAGCATTTTGAAAGCGGTGTTATGGGCAAGGATGACAAGGCTGTGAAAGACCAGGCCTTTGTCAGGGTAAGCGCTGCAGGGGAAGCTGTTTCACAAGCCCACGAAGAGGCAGGGGAACTTGTCACCTGCTAAGGTGGAATGCACTCAGGAGAACAAAGGCTGAAAAGCAGTTAAGCTCTACATGTATAAGTGTACACGTGAAAAAAGAATAAGAAAACCTGCGCCTCCCATACACCCTCATCAAGGGCCGCC